TCGATCCCGGGACTCCAGGATCATGACCTGAGCCGAAGGCAGTCGCTTAACCAACTGAGCCACCTAGGCGCCCTGGGCCTCTTTCTCTCTCCAACCGAGAGGCAAGAAACGGGGAGATTTGCAAAGGAGAAGGGAAAAACAGTGTGGGAACTTCCCCAGGAGACTTCAGCAATGATACAGGGAGTAAAACTGAAGCTTTCTTGATGTTCAGATCCGTGGTCATGTGAATTCAGAACAAAAATAATCTCATCGAGTCTTATTTTTACTTCTAAAGAAATCACTCAACACCGAACATAGCTAGAATTGTGCTTACTGGAATTCATAAAACTTTACACTTGCACTGAGCTCTGCTATCTCATCAGCATACGTTTAATGAGTAGGAACTCATATCTACACAGAATTTGAACTCGAATCTCTTCCTCTATGTGGAAGGTCAGTCACTTCTTTACCCATTTCCTAAATCTAGGAGCCACCTCTCACATCTATACTCTGCAATCTGAGATTCTAGGAAATATAAATGCCAGATGGCTTCTAAGACATATAAACGTTATTTTTTAACTTCAAATAAAATGATTTTTCAGAAGGCTTTAACACTTCTGGCTAATTCTTCATTTTAATCCCTCTGAAATTATCCACCAATCCTGAAATTTGGGGCCGCTTAACAGGAAAACTAGGAATTTCAAATATAGGAGGCAGGGCACCAGCACTCATCACATCACGACTACGTACAACAGGGGCTGAGAACATGAACTCAGAAGGCAGGCCGTGTGCGTCCACAGCCCATACTCAAGAAGAGGGGCATTAGAGCTCACTTGTTGCAGGGAGGCATCTCAAAGAGTTCGTGGACATGTTTTTTTTTTTTTTTTCGTGGACATGTTTTTTAAAAGTACCACATTACCTGACAGGATTATAGTCAAGAGTAAATGAATCAATATGCATAGAACATTTAGAACACATAAAGAGAGCTTGATAAATGCCAGCATTTATCATGATTTTTATTATTCATGGGGTGTTCACTGTGTTCCTGGCACTGTGATCTGTCAAGGAAAGGCAGAAGCAGAATAAAACTTATGACAGTCTGACTCTGGAGCCAGCGTCCAAACCAAGGATGGAGCAACACGTGGGGGGAGAAGAAAGAACACCAGGAAGCAAAGACCGAGGTCTGAGTTATGTCAACCCCAAATCCCACCTTCCTCCAGGACTTGCCTTACTGTTTACATCAGTTCAAATTGCTGTTGTTGATATTTACATCCAAAATCAGCCTTGCTGATAAATCCTTAAACACTGGCTGCCATATTTTACATATTTGTTTAATCGTTGATCTAAACAACTGTGACCAGGTGGCCACTTTTGGTTATGTAAATGGCCCCAGGGAAATCTATTTAATTAGTCCAAATTTCATAACATCTGAATTTAATGTATACATTCTAAGTGATGGTTCCTTTTCTTCCTGGAGATTAAATGGAAAGCACAAATGGGAGATTAGCCTACGGTGGCATGCCATGGTCACTTTGTAATATTAGTTGCACCATTTATAAAGAGTTAGACAATATTAGTAGGAAAATACAATATAGTAGCTCCTCGCTAAGTGTGCTCCTTAAGCATATTTTCATTTCTTTGAGAATATTTAGTTTGGAAAAGAAAAAGGACCACAGAAATTTTTAATAAATTAAGAAAAATTCCTATGTGGAGTTTGTTAATTATGGGAACTCACACACTGCTAATTCCTAGCCATCTATCTTTGGGCAGACTCCTTAAATTTCTTGTTGGAATCAGGATATTTTCTTTGGTTTTACATTAATGATATTTAAAAATTAATTTTTCACCCACAGGAAATATTAGTCTTTCGTTTGAGAGTCAATAATATTATTTTTGTCCAATAAATCATCTGTGAGTCGCCAGCTCTGAAACTCAAGATTCATAAATTATAAAATCATGAGGTTGAAGGCATCGTAGGATCTTCGAGCCCTGTCCTTATATGGATAAGGACAGTGAAAAGAATTGCCTAGAGTCACAACATGGAAAGGGCAGACCCAAACCCAGGTCTTCTCCTTCCCAGTTTTCTTAGTTTTTGGCTACATTATTGCCAGGCTTAGAAATGAATTCCAATTTTTACTTCAAATAAATAAAATTATGAATTGAATTTTAATTATTAATCAGTCATCAAAACGGAAAAGAAGCAGAAGCTGCTACGTTCTTTCCCTCTGTCTCTAATGTGTGACATTTCCATTTGACCCGGGTGGACTTGACTTACCCTGTGTTTGTAGCCCTGAGGGAGGATTTCTCACTTTTTCTGTTCCTAAGCCTCGCAAGTTAGAAGTTAGGAAAGTTGTATATTCTCAAGTAAAGGTCTTTAGCTTACAAGTCAGCCATTTAATTAACCACCGGGTTGGCCTAAAAATGATTTGGGTTTTATAACTTGGCCCTCCACAATCTGTTTCCTCCTCACCAAGAGATGATCAGAGCTCCTCCTATGGTTGGCTGCCTCTCAAATACATCTGATTTCATAGCCTTATACCCATGCTCTTCACACTGTTGACCTGCCCAGGGAACACCATGAATAGCACTTATTCATCTTGTTGAAAGAATTTTGGCTTTGAATGTACAACGTACACTTCAGAGAAAATCAGCTTTCACCTCTGTGCGTCCTTCTTGGCATTTCATCGCAGTATCTTAAAAGGGGGGCGGGGTTCTTACAAAGGAGAGCAATTTTCTTGTTTTACATCAGCTTATTGAGTTTCTCTCTGGAAATTGTTGCCCAAATGTTTTACATTAGTTGATTCCCATTTCTCAGTTAATCACCCCGTCAACAGAGCCTTAACAACAGTTTTTCATATTTCACTGTGTCTTAGACTTTCTAGAGCAGCGATTTCTTTGTATACCTTGGAGATAATTCCTGTAATTAAAAAATATTGCATTCCTACCAAGCCATAGTCAAATAGTATTTATTCAGACACGAGGCTATGTCTCTGCCCTGTGGCTATTTAAATGTTAAATTGATCATCACGGATTTAATAAGAAGCCTGCAGTAGATAGATTCTCCAAGAGAGGCATGAAGGGGAAATTCACAGAATTCAAATATTGGCTTAGAGAAGATAATAAATTAGGTTATGGGTAAAACAAAAGAAATGGCATCTAGTTGCAAAACTCATAGGTATGGAAGCATCATTTAAAAAAAAAATGAAGCCATTATAGTTGTTCTCCTCAGACACCATTTACCCCATTGTGCCCCAAACATGAGAAGTGGGCAAAGGCAGAATCAGGAGATCCCACTTTTAATCAAGGGTGATAGGGATGCGTTATATTCAATGAGATGAAAGAAAACCAATGAAACCCTAATTTACTGGAGTGACTGGAATTCAACCTCATTTATGTTGACACTCATTCATGTCATATATGAGATTCTAGGGGGCTAATGATACCAGAATACACAGGGGAAAGGCTCCAGGCTTCAGCCTGCATGACCCACTCAAATGCCAAGTGTGGACATGCAAACACTTCACTGCAGTTTCTAAGGTTGTGGCCTTTACCCTTCATAAAACCATCTTTCTTAACACCCATGTGTCCTTCAGTAAATGCATCTCCTCTCTAGGAAACTCTGGTTCCAAATGGAACTTCTTTTTATCAGATTTATTGAGATATCATTTATGTATCATACAATTCATCCATTTAAAGTACACAATTCAAGGGTTTTTAGTGTATTCACAGATATGTGCAAACATCACCATGGCCAGTTTTAATCACCCCAGTAAGAAACTCCATATCCATTGGCAGTAACTCCTATCACCCACCCCCAATCACTAGTCTACCCTCAGTCTCTGTAGATTTTTCTATTCTGGCCTTTTGCATAAATGGAATCATACAGTAGATGGTGTTTATGACTGGCTCCTTTCACTTAGCTTACTATTCTCAAGGTCCATCCACGCTGTAGCATATATCAGAACTTTGTTCCTTTTCATTGCAGAATGCTATTCACTTGCAGGGACATACCACATTCTATTCATCCATTCATCCATCGATGGACAATGCGTGGTTTCCACTTTTTGACTGTTGTGCTAATGCTGCTATGAACATCCACGTACAAATTTTGGTGTGGACATATGTTTTCACTTTTCCTGGATATATCCAAAGCGTGGAATTGCTGGGTCAGATGACAGCTTCATGTGTAACATCTTAAGAAAGTGCCAGACTGTTCCAAAGTGGATGCACCACTTTACATTTCCACCATCAATGCATGAGGGGTCTAATTTCTGCACATCCTTGCCAGCACTTCTTTATATATTGTCTTTTTTTTTTTTATTTTAGCCATCCTGGTGCATGTGAAGTAGTATGTCATTGTGGTTTTGGTTTTCATCTCCCTAATGACTAATGCTGAGCCTATTTTTAGGTTCCTACCACTTTTTAAAAGCCTCAATAACGTCCACTGTTTTCTTCCTAAGTGAAGCTCTTTCCAGCACCAGCTTCCAAACCCCAGAGTCCTCTCCCCTTTCCAGGCACAAACGCTTCTTAACTCTGGTGTGAGAAAATTTGAATCTTAGGTCTGAAAGTACAGCTTATTGAAGAAAGAAGCATGGGAAAAAGCACCTTCAAGACAAAGAGAGCCTATGAGTGGCTGTGAAGTAGACCTTCAGAGCGGACACTGGAGCATGGGCTTAACTGGTCAGCTGGAAATAGCATGACCCATGCCTGAGAGGGACGTGGTGGGGGGACCCTCGCGATTCTGTTTTCCCATGACCTGGCGCCTCGCTAAGAAAGGACTAGGGCAATACTGCTCAGCATCTCGCTTCACACTGTGTTTAAACTAGCACATGGGTAAAAAAAAAAAAAAACAATAAAAAACCTCCTATTAACAAGACAACCAGCATCAAAAAATACTTGTGCAAATTAGCAATAAAAATATCCCCGTTATAAAAGTCATATAGATGAAAAGTACAGCATAGGGAATACAATCAAAAGTATTATAATAACATTGTATGGTGACAGATGGGGACAACACTTACTGTGGTGAGCATCGAGTAACGTATAGAATTGTCAAATCACAATGTTGTGCACCTGAAAGTAATATAAAGCCCCATGTCAATTGTACTTCAATAATAAAAATTTTAAATATTTGAGAAATAAATGTATATATTTATACATAAAAATACATATAAAATAATACATATATAAATATATATATATGCTCATAACAGGATAAAAAGTCCTTGGTGATACGATAATTTGATTGAGACTTATTCAGAAAACCTTGAGGAAAAGAAAATAGAATCTCAGAGTGAATGAGAAGGAAAATGCTGGATCTTTCTTGTCTTTGCTTCTTTATATCTGTAAAGAGAACACCTATCTAGAATGGGCTCAGATGGAGGGAAAACCTTATAATCCCTTTGCCCAGAATATCCTTTTAATAATCATTTTGCTCAAAAGCTTTTTTTAACAGGATTTTATTTATTTGAGAGAGAACAAGCATGAGCGGAGGGAAGGGCAGAGGGAGAAGCAGGGTCCCCGCTGAGCAGGGAGCCCAATGCGGGGCTCGAACCCAGGACCCTAGGATCATGACTGAGCCAAAGGCAGACACTTAACCAACTGAGCCACCCAGACATCCCTGCTCAAAAGCTTTTTGTCTTTAGCCAAATGTTTTTGGAGATGAACTAATTAAGAGGGCTGTATTCGTTTGCTCTGACTACTATTACCAAGCATCACACAGTGAGCAGCTCAAACAGCAGACATTTGTTTTCTTCTGTGGCCTCTCTCCTCGGGCTGTAAATGGCCATCCTGTGGCAACTTCACAGGGTCTTCTTCCCCTTGTGTATGTGCCCTAATCTCCTCTTCTTATAAGGGTGCACATTGCTGTGGTCTGAATATGTCCCCCCCCCACACACAAATTCATATGTTGAATTCTAACCCCCAAGACGACGGTATTAACAGGTGGGGCCTTGGGAGATCATAGGTCATGCCTGTAGAGCTCTCATGGGATCAGTGTCCTCATAACAAGGTTCCAGAGAGGTCCTTCATCCCTTCCATCATGTGAGAACCCAGAAAGAAGACCATCTATGAAGCAGGACTTTCACCAGACTCCAAATCTACCAGCACCTTGATTTTGGACTTCCCGGTCTCCAGAACTGCGAGAAATAGCTTTCTGATGTTTATAAGCCACCTGTTCTATGGTATATGGTTAAAGCAACCCACACGGACTAAAACACCAGTCATATTCAGTTAGGGCCCACCCATGTACCTCTTATTGCCTTAATAATCTCTTTAAAGGCCCTTACTTTAAATATGCTCATTCTGAGGTACTGAGGGCTAAGATTTCCACATATGAATTTTGGAGGGACACAATTCATCCCATAACAAGACTCATGCAATAAATTAATGAATTTACATAACACTATGGTATTATACAAACCGTGTGGACATTTATTATTTCATTCAATTCTCACAAAAAAGGCTATGATTTAGACACTATTATTTACATTTTTAATGGAAAAAAGATAACAATAGGTGCTCAGAGAGAGTGAGAAATTTTCCAATTTTATTTAGCAAGCTAGATACTTGTTTTTTTAATATATCAAAATAGCCCAGTACTTAGAGAGTCCACTGTTTATTTTAAAATTACAAATTTTAAAATAAATTTATTTTATTTATTACATAAATCTATTATGTTTTCATTACATAGTAAAAAAACTGGAAATACGCTGAATATTCATCAACAATAAAATAATTGGATATATAATTGGATATATATAAATAAAATAATTGGATATATAATACTATGAAATGTTATACAGTCATTGAAAAAGAAAAAGTTGGATATATATGCATTGACCTAGTCATAAGCCATGATATAAAGAAAAAATAAAGTTATTATAGTAAGCATGTGTTCCCTGAATAATTTTTATATCAAATAAAGGATAAAATTATATCCATAAAAATCTCATTAAATTATATTCTCAAAAAATTAAAAGCTTAACAAATATAGAGTGAACATGTGTCCAAAATATATTAACTCATTCATGAGGAAACCAGAGATGATAAAGCTAGTTCAAACATTTGAGAAACAAAATTTTTTTTTTTAAAGATTTTATTTATTTATTTGACAGAGAGAGACAGAGTGAGAGAGGGAACACAAGCAGGGGGAGTGGGAGAGGGAGAAGCAGGCTTCCCGCGGAGCAGGGAGCCCGATGCGGGCTCGATCCCAGGACCCTGGGACCATGACCTGAGCCGAAGGCAGACGCTGAACGACTGAGCCACCCAGGTGCCCCAGAGAAACAAAATTTTATATATTCAGTGAAAAATGCATTTTTTTTTTACAAAAATGACAGTAAGTTGTTAATTTAGATACAAAAGTGCTTAATGTTTTACTGAGCAATAAATGATACTCTTTTGGTTATCTTTCTACCAAACAGAAATCACTGGCACTGTTGTCAGTTTGCTACAATTTAACCACAATCCTTACAGAGCTTTAGAATATTCTAATCAGTAATACATACAAGTCACACAAAGGTCTACATCTCTGAAATATAAACTACTTCCCAGGTGGACAGCTTGGACAACTCTCAGTAAGGACACCCAATAATTCCTTCTACCTATTTCCAATTTTTCAATCTTTTTTTATAGTCTCCCTGGTTCCATTAGATAACTATAAACATTATCCTCTGAAATTCCCAGGGATTAAACCTATAATACAAAACTGATAGAATAAAATTATCTCTATTCTCAACTATACAAATATAATTTACATATAAAGTGAAAAAAATTTATATACAAAGCCTACGCCCCTCAACAAAAAGTAAACAATGCCAAAAAATAATCAGAATTTTAATTGCTCAAAAGGTACATACATGCTACTAAGTCTCCATGACTTCTATAAACTCAGTCAAGACATATGCCAGGGGACGCCTGGGTGGCTCAGTCGGTTAAGCGTCTGCCTTCGGCTCAGGTCATGATCCCAGGGTCCTGGGATCGAGTCCCGCATCGGGCTCCCTGCTCCATGGGGACCCTGCTTCTCCCTCTGCCTCTGTCTCACTCTCTGTCTCTCATGAATAAATAAATAAAATCTTTAAAAAAAAAAAAGACATATGCCAGGCATCCTGTCTACCTAGTGTTATGCCCTCTTCTAAGAGACATGAACTAAAAATTATCTTCCAGCATGACTGCATTTGAAAGGAAGTCAGAAAAACCACAGAGACCATTATACTATAAATCCACAATGGTTTGCAAACTTGTACAAAGTTCTGATGCTCTTTAAAGAATACTTTTTGCATCAGTTAGGGGCTTCTGTTGACAGTTTCTGAAAATATATGAATCAGTTAGGAAGCTTTCAAATTAAGGTAGGAGAACACCTAACTTAAGGTAGCCTAAAAAAACTTGTTGGATGATGTACATCAAAGTCCAGAGGTAATGTGGAATCCAAATATAGTTTGATCAAGGCTCTCTTTATCTGTGATTGCCTCAGCCCTCTCCCAGCCTTAAAGCCCTCTGCTTGTTCGCACTCTGCCCAGGCTCTATTCCCTGAGATCTCTGCCTGACTGCCCCTTTCACATTAGTCGGGTCTTCAAATGACACCACCTCAAAGAATCTTCTATGAACCCCTAATCCAAAGAAGTTTCTTTCTGCTCAGCACTATTCAATTAAACTATGTTTTTTTCATCAAAGGATTTATCATTATCTGAACTTACCTTATTTACTTACTTGGCTATTGAACATCATCACAACTAGAATATAAGATCAACAAGAGCAGAGCTGCTCTCTTATTCACCCATTATCCCCAGAGCATAGAACAGTGCCTGACATTCAGTAAATGATCACTAAGGGTTTACTGAGAGATCAAGTGAAGGAACTATTATTCATCTTTCAGGAGTCAGTTCAGACATCTTGTCTCCAGAATCTCAAGACAAAATTTACATAGATTTGAGGAAATAAAAAGTATACCTTCCTCCATGTATGATAGTAAAACATCCATGTACTGCAGAGAATGGCACCCTCCTTGCCAGAAAGAGGTGGGGGGAGAGGCAGAGAAGAAAAGAAGAAAAAAGAAAGAAGAAAGAAAGAAAGAAAGAAAGAAAGAAAGAAAGGAAGGAAGGAAGGAAGGAAGGAAGGAAGGAAGGAAGGAAGGAAGGAAGGAAGGAAGGGAGAGAAAGAGAAAAAGAAAGAAAGAGAGAGAGAAAGAGAAAGGGAGAGAGTGCGGGGGGGAGGGGGAGGAAGGAAGAAAGAAATCACTATAATGTATTTATGGTTTTTGTAATGGCATGCCACTTCACTTTTTTTTTTTTTTTTAAGAGAGAGAGAGAGCACAGTAGGAGAGAGTAAGAGGGAGAGGGAGAGGGAGAGAGAGAATCTTAAGCAGTTTCCATGCCCAGCATGGAGCCAGACATGGGGCTTAATCTCATGACCCTGAGATCATGACCTGAGCTGAAATCAAGAGTCAGATGCTTAACCAACTCAGCCACACAGACACCCCATGACATGCCACTTTAAAGAATAGTAGCTACAATATATAGTCAGTTGGTATTACTCTTTTTCTTTTTTATATAGAATGTTGAACTTTTTCAAGGTATCCAGTAGAAGAATTTTAGTCCTTCTATGGTTGTTACTTTTTCTTATAAATCTCCCACCGTACCAGTTTCAATAGTTGTAGTTTTGGCGACTAGGAATAACTGTGGACTGTCATGGAAAGGCCAGCTTTCATTCAAAGCAGGATGAATACAATCAAAAGAGCTTTTCTTAAAGATCTTAATCCTTGGGTTCAATGCTGAGCTCCACATTATCGAATAAAAAGGCCATGTTCTCCTGAATTCTTTCCAGGCTCTACAATATTGAGCAGCTATTAGAATCCAAATTTGTTCTTCACCTTTTGCTGCCTGTGGGTTTTAAGATTTTTTTCCCCTGAGATCAAGGACCATATCGAGCAATGAAATGATCACATAATAAGCAGATCCATTTTCTACCACTCATCAGTACAAATAAATCTCCTGTCCTTACTCTTCTTAAAAGGAGCATTATTGTGTACGAGCACCTTCTTTCATTCCACTGTCTTTCCCTATAAATTCCCAGGAGGGAATGCCATTTAACAGAACCCAGTGCATGACAAAACTACATGACGTCAATGTCCCAGAGGAATTAGATTGAGATCAATCAATTTTCCAATCTCTTCCAATTTCTTTTGCCTAATTCAGTCTTTTCCGTTCTTAACATGATTCTTCATCCTGCTTTTTTCATTGTTATCCAGACCTACTGGCTACAAGGAACAGCCCCTCCCCTTAACTCAGCCTTTTCAATGCTTCTGCCCCATATTTGTTCTCAATGACCACCTAGGTAACTCTCTGCTAGTTTCTTCTCTAATTGTGGAGTCGCTGATCTAACCATGGCAAACACATTAAGCCTCTTTTATGGACGCCTGCCCTCCCTGGCTCCATGTTTTCCCTCTCAATATATGGCCTCACCTCTTAATTTGAACAGAAACATCAAGATTGTTGGAATGCCAGTGTCATCTACATCTTCTCCATCTTTTCATCACTTGCTTCCTTCCCTGCCATGTGTCACTTCCCACATTCCATCTTAAGCTGTCATACGTCTTTTTATTTTTTAAAGATTTTATTTATTTATTTGACAGAGAGAGACACAGCGAGAGAGGGAACACAAGCAGGGGGAGTGGGAGAGGGAGAAGCAGGCTTCCCGCTGAGCAGGGAGCCCAATGCGGGGCTTGATCCGAGGACCCTGAGATCATGACCTGAACTGAAGGCCGACGCTTAACGACTGAGCCACCCAGGCGCCCCACTGTCATGCGTCTTTTACACATCTGAAATGTGTGTGTGTGTGTGTGTGTGTACCCAGATTGCACCTTCAGCAAATAGACAGCAGGAGATAGAACTGAGAATGATGACCGAAGAGGAAGTAGGACAGGTTAGACTGATACCCACCTGGCTGGCGTGCTGGCCAGTCACTCCCTAGCTGCAAGCCTTGAAAACATGGCTTGGCCTCTCTGAGCCTCCAAGTATCACTTTCCACATCTTTTTTTTTTTTTTAAGGGGTCATCTCACAAGCAAAGAACTAGTTTTTAAAATAAGACCAGCACTGAGTGTTGTGTGTTAGTGATAAATCACTAAATTCTACACCTGAAACTAACATTACACTGTATGTTAACTAACTAGAATTTAAGTAAAAACTTGAAACTACGAATAAAATAAAATAAGACAAACTAGCAATACATTTCTGCCCTAGAAATAATCGCTTAATCTGAAAACATGCTAAGGATTGTTTTGGTACAAGAGACATTACTTCCATTTTCTCCCTTCTCTTAGCATATTAATATGCTTCTTTAAAAAAACTATAGTGGTTTCCCTAGGGCTTTCTTTGAACATTTTCAACTAATCTAAGTCTACTTAGATTATATTAGCATGATGTTATTTAATAACAGATAGTGTGGTAATTTATAACAGAGTATTCCCAATCCTTCCTTCTCATCCCTTATAACATTGTTGTTATTCATCTCATGTATTCACAAGATATAAGTAACCAAAACATTGTTGCTATTATTATTTTGAACAAATAGTTATCTATGAGATCAATTAAGAATAAGAAAAGGAAAAGATTATATTTTACCTTCCTGGATTCCTTCCTTAACCTTTGTCTTTTCCTTATGTACAAGCTTCTCACTTCTATCATTTTCTTTCCCCTTGAAGAACACTGAGTATTGGCAAAGACACAGAGCAACAGGAACTCTCAGTCACTGCTGGTGGAAATGCAAAATGGTACAGTCAGGTACAGTTTGGGTGATGCCTTACCAAACTGAACATGAGCTTACCATACAAGTTGGCACCCATGATCCTTGGCATTTACCCAAATGAGTTGACAATCTGTTCACATAAAAACCTGCATACGGTGTTTAGGGCATCCTTATTCATAACTGTCAAAAACTGGATGCAATCAAGATGACCTTCAAAACGTAATTGAATAACAAATGAAATTAATTTTAATGTCTCATTATGCTTTGTCATTTATAATAAGAAATATATATTTAGTCTTTGCCCTTGTTTCTGGCACAGAGCTTCTAAAACTCTTAGAATTTCCTACGTAGTGAGAGTGACAAAAGTATCTTTTGTTCTGTCATTGAGGTAACTTTTAGACCACACCTAAGGAAAGGGACTGGTTGTCAGGGAATCAATCCTGTGACTAGAGAGGAGGGAAGAGAGACTAGGGGTTGAACCAATCACCAATGGCCAGTGATTTGATCAACCACGCCTGTGTAATGAAGCCTCCATAAAACCCCAAACAGATGGGTTCAGAGAGCTTCCAGGTTGGTTAACACGCAGAGAAGTGGGGAGAGTGATGTCATCAGGGGCATGAAAGCTCTGTACCCTTTCCCTACACTTTGCCCTGTGTATCTCTTCCATCTGGCTGTTTCTGAATCATATACTTCTATAATAAATTGGTGATCTAGTAATTAAAATGTTTCTCTGAGTTCTGTGAGCTGCTCTAGCAAATTAATTGAACCTAAAGTGGGGAGAAGAGTGGTTCCTGGAAACCTTTGATTTATAGCCAGTCAGTCAGAAACATAGGTGACAACCTGGGTTGGCATCTTGGGGTGGGGGGCAGTCTTGTAAGACTGAACCCTTAACCTGTGGGATCTGATGCTATCTCTGGGTAGATAGTGTCAGAACTGAGTTGAGCTGTAGGACACCCAATCAGTGACCAGAGGGGGCTTGTTGGCTATATGGGGAAAACCTCCCTTTCCAAGCATTGGAATTGGTGACCAGAACTAATACTCATATAAGAAAACTGTTAGCAATAAATAACATGAAAGATCACTTTTGCAGCAATATTTAAATCAATCATGAAAAGTTGTTAGCATGTAATCACAAACAGAAAGCGCAATTGAAATGAATAAATATTGCTTCACACCACTTTGAAGCCAGTGGCAACAAGGCACTAAAAGGTGAGCCTCAGGTATTGAGGAGGGCACATTCTGCATGGAGCACTGGGTGTTATGCACAAACAATGAACCATGGAACACTTCATCTAAAACTAATGATGTAATGTATGGGGATTAACATAAGAATAAAAAAAAAAACAACCAAAAAAATAAAATAAATAAAAGGTGAGCCTCAGTGTGATAGAAGAGATTTGATAAAGACCTTTGATGTAGACATTTTTAGATCTGCTTTAGGTTAAAGAGAGAGAATAAGTGTAAAATGTATTTTTATCAAACTTCAAATGGCATCATTTAATATGCTCAGAAGATATATTGAAAAGCTGACTGAGGAACTGAGGTCTGTTTACAGCTGGTTGAAAGAATAAATGTTCCATATTTAGTCATTGTAATGGTGGCCCTCTGTGAAAACATGTCAGATCACAACATACTTGATAAGAAAAGATGAGGGAGTGTTTTGGTGGATATGGGGTCAACTGGAAAAATTGAATCTAAAAGCAAGTGTGAAGCCCAACCAATGAAGACAAAACTGCTGGGGTGGTGGTTGTCAGACCCCAGGCCAGTAAGAACAGTGAGTGCATTAGTACTCATTTCATCATTCATTGAGAATAGAGTGCTTGCCTCTTGATTTTCTCATTGTGTTCGATGGAGTGGTAAAAATGGGCAATTTGGTAGAACAAACAAGATGACAAAAAAATGAGTGCTTAGAGCCATCTTCAATGAAACAGGAAGTGACTTTGAAAACTTACTCTGGAAGACAGAAAATGGGTTGAGAAGTGTCAACTGATTCGTAGGAGCCTAGGAAGGCCAAGCCAGGATTACATGCAAAGAGGCCATGGGAAAGAAATAGAGGACCTGCTTCAAGACTCCAGTCTTGAAGGGGTGAGGATGATGGAGGGCAGCAGTGAAAAGAGGGCCTGAAATCCAGGAGGTTCATTGACTTCAGTACAGGGAACAACTGTTCCCTCCCTTCCCTTCCTACCTCCAGCCTAGATGGGAGCCAAAGGATGGAGAGCCCCAGAAGCTAGTATCCAAGGGAAGGTGATATCAAGACACTTGAAATATTTAAAACTGGCAGTCACAGTGATCATTCTTTACAGTTTCCAAAGATGATTCATTTGACCAACTGAGAGCCCTTGAGAAACCTTTAAGAAAGACCATGATAACACCCACCCTAGAGCCCACCTCCAAAAGACCCACCATCACTGACCAGGAGGAACTGCTCGGTGAATGCTAGCCATCCTGTTTCCCCGGTCAGCCTCTTCCTGTCCAATGGACTCATGAACAGAGCACCCATGGTGCACAATGGACTTGCATGGCCTGAAAAATAATGATAGTAATGAGAGTCTCCTTGCAGAGGTCAATCTGGTCACGACCACTACAAGTTCCTGATATTCCAGCAGCCTTGACCTACCCAGGCCACACTTCCAAGGGACAAGTCCTCGTGGTATATCAAATGCATAGCAGTGCTTCTGCCATGGAAGCAGGGGGACATTGGTCTGAGAGCACAGCTCCTACACTTGGAAATTCACCCCCACCTTCACATCCAGTCACATTTCCCCAGGCTGCTCCCAGCCAAAGATTGAGCATGACAAGGATGTATTAACCATGTGCATGTATGGTCCATCTCATATAAAGATTCTTTTAAATGTAAAGAAAATTAAATTTAAGAATTAGATAAGAAAGTAGATCATGGGAACTAAGAGTTAAGACTGTTGGTTCATGTCTTCTGTCCATTTCTTAACTGGATTATTTGTTCTTTTGATGTTGAGTTACATAAGTTCTTTATATATTTTGGATATTAACCCCTTATCAGATAAATCATTGCAAATATCTTCTCCCGTTCAGTCGGTTGTCTTCTTGTTTTGTTGATTGTTTCCTTTGCTGTGCAGAAACTTTTTTCATTTTAATCTGATTAAAAGTATCAGTGGTAAAATAGATGATCAAAAACATCAACTTTCTTCTGATAATAGGAGAGATCTGACTCATGAATCAGAAATTATTCCAGTCTGCGTGTTATTCAACCCTGGTGCCTCTCAGGGAGGAACCCATCAAAATGTCCACCAATATCAGCCTGAGATCATTGCTTTTCACCTCTCTGGCAACATTTGGACCTCTCTCTCCAGAGATTTCTCTGATAAAATTTTCATAAGAATGAAGGGGGAAAATGCTACTTATATTTATATATTTCAAGTCTGAGCTATTGAAATATCATGACACCAAGAAGCAGCAGTGAAATCACCTAAAAGACACAACCAATGGATCATTCCACTGCTCTTCAACTCAGCCTCACTCTCTACAACTGATAAATTCAATACAATAATATTTTACACATAAATCAGCCACCCAATAAAATAGGGCTTCAGACAGGAAACACTTGTGTCCATGTCCGTCTTTTTTCCTGAGAGTATTTTAAAATATTATTTTTATAATCAGAGAAATATAGAATGATTTGGATGTGACAGTCACACATGAATTTTTAAGGTTAAGCAAAAAACATCAAAAGAATATCTCGGCTGCTATAGTAGGCCCCAAGGCATGCCCCTGATTTCTCAGGGTTCAAGTTCAGGTCTTGCCATTAGGTATACTTCAGTGAAAAATTGTGAGAAGCAGATATTTATGGAATGTGTCTTGATGTTGTGAGCAATGAGGAGTCATTTAAAGTTCAGAGTCAACTCTATCAGCCTGTGAGGAGAAGCAGCTAGAGGAAGGAAATCCTGGAAACACAATGGTTTTGGTTTAAGATGAAGATTCCTTACATAAGAGCATGTTCAGGGAAGATAATGGAAGAAATTAATCTTTTACTGATTTCTAATCATTTATTTCTCCTCTATGCCCACTAAGTTAGCACCACAGTCTCTGACAAGCTCTTAATCAAACTCCACTCCTGCCATCAATCCTGTCCTACTACACTCTCCTTAAAAGCTCTCATTCTTCAAAGTCATTACAAAAAAAGCTTCTGCGTTATGAAAAGTGAACCCAGGACTCCATTGCTCCAAACCCCTTTTTTTCCTTAACTTTGTCTATATATTGCAGAGCACAAGTGTTAGCAAAGATCTTTGAAATCTTGAATTCCTCCTATGGAGTATGATTTTAATCTTCTGAAAAAGTTCCCAGGCACCTCTGAAGCTAATTGGCCCTAATGACATGTCAAAAACTAAACAAGTGGGTTTCTTACACTTCTCTATGCCCCGTTTTTTTTCCTTTTTTGAAAAAAAAAAAAAAGCATGACAATTTTATCTTTGGAACGAACACAAAGAATCTTCATCATTTCTTTCTGTTCCCCTGTCCCTCACATCTCCCTCTGCATGTTGCAAAATGTGCTATGGAAAACATTAAGTTGATGATAGATGATGATGATGATGGTAGGTAGAAGATAGATGTTAGATACATACATACATACATACATACATACATACATACATACATACAAGAGAGAGGCACAGAGAGATATTGTATATGTACATGCATATATACAAACTAGGATATGAGGGGAGCTCCTGGGTGCTCAGTCGGTTAAGCATCTGCCTTCAGCTCAGGTCATGATCCCAGGGTCCTGAGATCGAGCCCAACATCAGGCTCTCTGCTCAGCGGGGAGTCTGCTTCTCCCTCTCCCTCTACCTGCCATTCTGCCTATTCTCTCTCTCTCTCTCTCTGTCAAATAAACAAACAAACAAATAAAAATCTTTAACAAAAGTAAGAAATAAAATAAGATAAAAAGCCAGGATATGAGGACTAGAGATAAAATGTGGGTAAATAACCATGCTTATTTGACTCTGGGTAAAATAGAAATGTTCGGATTTTCAATCCTTCTGTGTTATTTAGTGGTGAACAATTCTTCAGGTTGTCTTGGAACTGTGCTGTCCAAGAGATTGGCCGCCAGCCACACGTAGCTATGTAAATTTAAATTCAAATTAATTAAATTACGTAAAAATTAAACTTCTGTTCCTCATTTGCACAAGCCGCATTTCAAAGACTCAATATTCTCCCATGTCCGGTGGCAATGAATGTGACAGCAGACACTCAACACTCCTATCACAGCAGTTCTCTTGGACAGCTGGTGTCTTGCAATTTTTTTACACCCGTATTAGTCTATCGTTAAAAAAAGAGGCTTAATTGGACATACAAGGGCTGAAACATTCTTTTCTCAGAAGGAAAATTGCTTTTGTCAAACTCACGTAGAAACTCTGAAGAATCACCAGGAAATAAAATTATAGAAAGCAGAGCTCAAATCCTTTGGTCGTCAAATTCAGATTCTATCCTATAATCATTGAATCTCAGGGTTGAAATAGAATTTAGAGGTCATCTGACCCAATCATCCTTTCCATGTTTGCCATTGCCTCTTCAAGAACTCTACCAAGATGGAATCGAGCCCATACTTGAAAACCTTCAACAAAACAGCCATGCCTCCAGGATAAATGAAACTCAAAGAAAATGCCTAACCAAGGGGACCACCAAATCAACACTAATGATAGAATCACAGGTCTCGGGGTGTCTTGGTGCTGCAGTCGGGTAAGCGTCTGATTCTTGATTTCAGCTCGGGTCGTGATCTCAGGGTCATGAGATGGAGCCCTGCGTCTGGCTCTGCTCAGTGGAGAGTCTGCTTAAGATTCTCTCTCCCTCTGCCCCTCCCCCCTGCTCTCTCTCTCTCTCTCTCAAATAAGAAAATTTAAAAAAGAATGATTGGTCTTAGTCATTCATGGCTTTGCTGCTTGTGATTATGTTAAATTGCCACTCTGCTAAGGGCAGTAAGACTCTGCCTTTAGTGACCCGTTTAAAAGAAAAGTAATAGCTTCTGCCCAAAATGTCATTTGGCAGCCCTTTAAAAAAAAAAACATAGCTACTTTTCATAAAGCACTTTTGCTTTGACAAAGTACTTGCTTATTCAACAAAATGCTCTTATCCTCTGCTAATTTTTCACCTAGCACATGGCCAAGACACACTCAGGACTCTTGACCCTATTCCCAGTCACTTTTTATGTTGAATTGGAGACTATACTATTTGGGCAGAGAGAGCAGAAGTCTTCCTTTTCCCTAGGCCCACTCCTGGATGGAATATGGCTATACAAATAATGAGGACTGAACTTGACTTGCTTATGATAGCTTCATAATCAAGAGAACCAATAAAGTATTCACGGATGGGAGCCGAACAGAGTATGAGATATTATAAAAGGGGGTAATGTCATTTTGTCCTTTTATGGTTAGAAAGGCCCAGCCATTATAAAGATACTATCAGGTTTTCCTAATGGAATTGTCATGGTTTAGTTATCTCATGCCCATAAATCTGCCTTCGCCATGCATTGCAGTCTAGAAAATTTCTGGTTAAGAGAAAAGTGGAACTAAGCCTGTTCTGCAGTTCATAGATAATAATCAGTATTTGCAAGCCTATAAATAAAATCCATATAGATTCTTCAAGCAAACAGCCGTAGATTGGTTCAAGAATATAATCCATTCTCCACAAGGTAGCCATGATGGTCCTTTCAAAACATACATCGGCTCATGTCACTCCCTACTTCAAAGCCAGCCAACTCACTAGAATCACATCAAAGTTGGCTTAGAAGGCCCTGCATGATGGGGTCCCAAGCTACGCCTCCAATTGTACACCTTGCCTCTTCTCTTCCCTCTGCACCTGATTCCTTGCTGTGTCCTTGCAGTTCTTCAGACTTGCTGAGCACACCCCTCACTCAGGATTTTGTACTTCCTGGTCCTCTGTCTGGAATGCTTCCCCCAGATAGTCACAGCCCTCCCCACCCCCCAAGTTGTAACAGGTCGATCAATTGTCACCTCGTCAGAGAAGCCTGCTATGGCCACACACTCACTTCCTGCTCCTTACCTTGCTTTCCTCATGGGACTTATCCACACCTTGAAATGTTATTGTCTTTCTTATTTTAAGATGAATCCCGCAGGGTAGAAATTTTGTCTTGTTCATTGCCATATGCTAGTAGCCAAATCAGGACCTGGCATGTTAGTAGGTGTTCGACGAGTATGCTTTTACAAATGCAAAAATAAGTAAATGAATGAGCACCAGCTGTCAAATGCTTCTGTCTCTGAAAGAGTGCCCAGTACTTCCCCTTTACAACATTCACATAACCCTTGTAATCACTTGACATTTTATTCTCTGCTAGATTATGACTGACTTCATTCACTGCTGTAAACCCCCAATGCCTTCCAAAGTGTTTTTTAAATATGCACTAAGTGAAAGTGCATGAATGAACTGTCTACTTTGATTATCCATAGGATCCATCCTGTTGACAGATTTGACTCTCGTCCTCAGGCAATAAAGGTAGACAAGAAAAATCTCAGAGATTCATTAGCATCGTC